AATGCAAATTGAATAGGTAAAGGCCGTTTTACAGCTTGCAAGGAAACTTGAATGCAATTTTTTGCATGCAAAAAAATTGCATTCAAGATTTCTTGCACCTCGTTTTACTCCTTGCAATTTGACTTGTTTCTTTCTCTAACCTAACCCTTAACCATACTTTTTTGTTTTTAATGTTGTGATGTTGATGTTTGCATTTTCCAAAAATAAAAAGTGATTATAAGTCGATATAAAAAGAAGTATAAGCAATAGCAGCAACTTTAAGCATCATAATTGCTAAAAATTCCCCAGCTTGCACGAAAACCTTCATGAAAAATGGCACCAAACCGATTGTATGCAATGCCATTCAAGTTTCAAGAATCTTGCAGAAACAAATCAGCTGACTCACTTCTGCGCATGCCCTCGATCAAGTTTCTTGCATATTGCAGATAGAATTGCAAGCTGTAAAACGGCCTTAAAACAATTAAGCAAAAATAGAGCTTCAAAAAACGTAATTTTAATGAAAAAAATCGTAAGTTTGACAGCAACAGTAACACTTCGCAGGCCAGGGTTGCAAGATCTATGAAATGAAAAAGCGGGACTGTTCTTATCTTATCCAGAGTACCACGCCCGAAGGCATAAGGGTGAGGGGGGAGGGGCAAGTGTCCAATGATTTTTGACGAGTAAAACATTATACTTTTTCTATGACCATGTTGTAATATGGTTTTTGCCACAGGGTCTGCGAATGACGTCATCACGTCAGCAGCTAATAGTGGTGACGTCACCCGCAGACCTCGATGAAATGCTTGCGACTCAGGCTCGTTATTTGACTTTTGCGTCGATTTTAAATGTAGAAATACCTAGCTATTTATGTAACAAGTTGTAAAATGAGCGTTTTTTGCACTAAATGTCAAGATTGGGTGGAAAAAGCGGGAAAACCGGGACAATTCACGTGAAAAGCGGAACCTGAAATTAATAGAAAAAAGGCGGGACAGATTAACAAAATGCGGGACTGTCCCTCCTAAGGTGGGACGTCTGGCAACCCTGTCGCAGGCCCATAGAGTCGGGGTCTTTTTAATTTACGAGCCCGAAGGGCCGGGATCTACTTAAGTTACGAGCCCAGAGGGCCGGGGTCTTTTTAAATTACGAGTCCGTAGGGACGAGGGTTTTTATGTGTGGTCACCTTCATATCGTGTGTACCTACCTGGTTTTCCAGTCTCAATTTTTCAGGACCTTTTTCATTTTCTGAATTGAGTAGGGGATACATGGAATTTATTGATCAGTGATTGTAGTAATATTATTATTTTATCGTCGTGTGTAAAACACATTTTTTTTCCATAGCCTAATAGACCGATCTCCTATCACCTGGACTGCGCGCGTCGCTTGTAGGCTGCAGGTGAGCGTCCAATGAGAAGCAAGTTTGTAACAGGCTTGCGTCATATTCTTATTCAGGGGCCATTCCAGAATGAATCGTTCCTTCTTTCTTTGTAACGTGTAATTTGACAAAGAGCAAACTAATACTTTACATATTACTTTGAACTCACCGCAGTGTCGTTTAAGGTTTTGTTAGATTATACTTGACATATTCCTTTGTAATTTCATTGAGCGATGTTGCCGGATGAAACATTTATCAAAATAGAAGTGCAAACGATGTTCATCCACTTTAAAGCTCTTCTTTTGTCTGAATTAAGGCGTTGTAAAACACTTGACACTCTATCACTTCTTTTATGTTATAATATTCGATTTGTATTGTCCAGATTTGTTCTACAACAATACAATCTGGCTACACTGCAGCCTACGAGTTGCGCGCGCATGTCATCTCTATTGCTTTCTAACTTGTATTTATTATAATTAAGCTCTCTTTTTTCAATCATGCGAGATAGGTCTATTATGGACGCCTATAGTATCAAAAATATTTAGAAAGTATCATTCAATCTACCCCTGTGGTTAAAGTACTACTTTATCTACTATAGTAGATTACAGAGCTGGGATCGTTACTTGAAAAAAGTAACGCGTTACTTTTGCTTAAAAATAACTCGTTACTTAAAATTTACAATTACTTTCGAATAATGATAACTTTATTTTCGTTACTTATTGGAAAGTAACGCGTTACTGTAACTTCGTTACTTTGAAAGTAACTTCTTTACTTTAAAAGTAGTTCGTTACCTATAAAGTAATGCGTTACTTCAAAAAAAACTATTTACGTCGAAAATTGCGTTATTCCTTAATTTGACTCACTAACACAGCAGTCCAAACAATCAAATAAGACCTATACGAAATGCCAATATGTTTTTACTTTGTGAGTCCGACTATGTGGAAGAGTATTCTTGCAAAATTCAAGCGGATTAAGGATTAAGCGACTGAATAGAGCACTTGATTTTGGACAAACCTGCTCTTTGAAGTCTCCCAGTGTCTGCATTTAGTGTCCTTAGAGCAGAGGCGGCGCGTGGTACGCCCAAAAACGATTATTTTGAGATTTCAAAAGAAATTTTCTGTACTACCAACATTTTATTTGACGTACAAAGTTTTTGGATTAGGTACTAATTTTCCTTTTCCTCACTCGTCAATTATTTGTAAAGAAGAAAAACAAATTGAAAGAACGAGTTACTTTCATAGTAACTAGTAACGCGTTACTTCCAGCCTTACTTCAAGGAAGTAACGTCGTTACAGTTACTTACCAATCAATCTGAAAAGTAACGAAGTTACCAAGTAACGCGTTACTTTCAGTAACTCGTTAAAGTAAAGTAACTTTTTTTTGTCGTTACTCCCAGCTCTGGTAGATTGAAGTTGTTTTTGACTTATTTGGACTCGCTCTATCGATTTCTGAAGTCAGAATTGACGAAAATGCAAAAATAAAAAATTTCAATTTTTTACACTTTTTTTCAAGGGTTCCCTTTGGATTTTTATTCGGAATATTCAAATTGCAATATCTCTCGAACCAAAAGTGGTACTGAGATAAACTTTTCAAGAATTGTAGCTCTTGTTAAGAGGTTGAAATTGGTATTAAACTGAAATCGCTGACATTTATTTACGGTTTTTGAGAAAATCGCGTTTGAAGTTTTGTGCAAAGTGTCAACTAAATTTTAACTATGAAGGTCAATATCTCGAGAATCCAATGAACTATTGAAACCAATTTTGTAAGGCTTATAGAGAATTTAATACTTTTTCCAATGATGTATAATTATTGTTCCAAATTCTTTTGAATGTCATCAAATATATAAACAATTATTCATGAGTGTGTCAAAATTTCAAAAAACCAAAGCCAAAAATGAGATTTCCTTTTAGATTTTTTTTTCCCATAGAAATTCTCAAATTTAAATTTGATTTAAGAATTGTTTTTGACTAATTTCGATTTCTGAATTTAAAATTGAAAAAAAATTCAAAAATAAAAAATTACAATGGGTAACCTTTTTGGATTTTTATTTGTATATCTTCAAATTGCAATACCTATTTCTTGCAGCAAAAGTGGAATAAAAATTTTCAGGAAATATTGCTCTCAATAAGAGCTTTAAAGTGATATTTAGCTGAAATCGTTAGGGCTTATAGCTGCTCCAGTGTCTTAAAATTAGTACCCCAAAATTTCATATTTGTTCATTGCATAGTTGATGGGATATTGAAGTATAATTGTTGTGGATCAAGGGCGGTTTAAAGGGGGGGGTAGAGGGGGTAATTACCCCCCCCCCAGACATAGTTTTTTTTTATACATTTATCAATTATAACAAAATTTCAACAAAAGACAAGTTCTACAAAGTAAAGGATTAAAGGCATCTTATGAATATGATAGGCTCACCAGTACCGACGTACACTTGGTCAATCATAAAACTGGTACGCATCTTCCTATTGTGTTGTTTTGTGTAAATAGACCTTTTTATCATCTCAACAATGACAAAGCGAGTCAAGTCAGTGTCATGTTTGAACCAATCATAACATAAAAATATGTTGCATTTACTTTTGTTCAGCTTTGACGTTGACAAAAACTGTCTGACCTAAGTTTTTCCGAACAGACTTTGTGTTATTAAGCTTGACTCACACTAGGCCAATCTACAAAATATATATTGCCTGTACCAGTTTTATGTTTGGCCAAGTGTACCTACCAAGGTTCCTGAAGTTCATAGGTTGTCTGGTAATAGGTAACTTAATGACGCATTTGGGAGCCTTATGCAGATTTGCATTATGTTGAAGCACCCCAGATGACGTCATTAAGTTACCTATTACCAGAAGAAGATGAGAAGCGAGGTGGTTTTTCATATTTCAAGTTTTTGTTGACACTGCAAGCTGCGATTTTTTGAAAAAATATTAAATATTTTAAAAACGGTTGAGTTTTGATATGATGATTCCTAACAAAAAGTATGTATAGGATAGAATGTACTAAAATATAGGGTGTTCCATTTAAAAATAACAAATTTCTGTCGCATACCCCATTTACAGAGCACCCTGTATATTTAAGAATATATTTGAGTAATGCACCTTAGAGAATCAAACAACTTTGATTTTTTATTTTTTTTTTCTTGCATCACCCTGTAAGAAGATATCGTCCGATATCGCACTAAGTGGACACCCTGTATAACTATTTTGACGGCATCAGGATACATTTTTGCCCCAAACGTGTTTTTTAAACGACTTTTGGGTGCAAATTTGGGCGTGGCACTCCAAAAAAAAATTCGCCTCCGGCGGCGGTACGTTCCGACACTTGATGATTTTCCCGTCATCCATTACCCCCCCTCCCAGAAAATCATGTATGGACCGCCACTGTTGTGGATTCTTTACATTTTTCCTCTTTTCTCTGCACTTTTCCTCTCCAATTGCCAACTTTATGTTGCCAAACTGTACAATTTTTACAAACACATATGCCAAAAAATTTAAAACTTTCGAAAAGTTAGATTGTAGTAAATCTATATTTATACCAAAATATTTACCAAGGAAAACATTATATCGTACATACATACCACATGCCGGAAAATGGTTATTTTTGAATAAATATCATTATTATAATATTTGTATTTAGAAAAAATGAGGATTCATATAGTGTGACAAATATTATCTGAGAATTATAAATTATCTAAAATCATGTTCAAGGCCTTTTGTAAAAATTCATTCAAGCATAGTTTAAGACTAATATTTTAGGAAAAATCTATAATACTAACATTTGTCAATTTTCGGAACACCAAAAAAAAAAAAGAAACAATAAGGCTCAATTAAATATAGATTACCAAATTGATGTTAGTTTTATCGAAACAATCAATCTAAAACAGAGACAAAATAATTTTCCTGTTTATATAAAGCCCCCATTTTATGCCTGAGAAATTATTTTCAACTGTAACCATCATCATGAAGTTATTATTGCCAATTATTGTATTTTTCACTTACATAAACTACAGCCAGGCTTGTGTAAGTAAACTGAAAATCCAAAATAATTGTTTTTAAATCGTAAATTTCAGAATGGCTATTCAATAAAAATCCTAAAATACAAAAACTGCGTCGACGACAGCATTATCAAACTACCGGACAAAGATTTCAACATAGTTTTGGACAAAGATTGCAATTTTTACACTACAGGTTGTGTAGAAATAACCAAAAGCTTTAAAACTGCAAAGGTTTGAATATTTAATTCAAATTAAATTAATTTACAATAGTAACTGTTTTAGGCGAAATATTTGGCTAAAAAACCTCCGATGCCTGAATTTGAAGGCGAAGTTGACTTGTGCCAACTTTCAGGCATGTTAAAGGAAAAACCAGCTATAACTGAAGCTATGGCTGTGCTGAGTATACCAACCAAATGTCCTGTAGAAAAAGTAAAGGAATGGAATTTCTGGTAAATTTAATATTTGTTTGACATTTTAGATAAAAGTCTGCGGAGGTCCCGAACACAAATACAACATATCAAAGTACAAAAATTTTATTGGAATGGCAGCTGGAACTTCAGATGTTAAACTGGAAATCGAGCATGACGTTGGGAAAAGTTGTGTGGAAATACAGGCCAGCTTTACTAAAGCTAGAAGAGGCTGATTGGATTTTATAACACATACTTTTATTGTATTCTTGAATAAATGGATAATTTTTTGTTTTCAAATAAAGTTTATTTAAGGTAATGGGTTGGAGCAAAATTTTCTGAGTGCCTTTTTTCATAAAATCCGGCTCCAAATTTGGGAATAATTAACTGTATGAAGTTCGAGGAATCCCGAAAGATCATTAGGACACAATATCTCGACAAAAAAAAAATTTGAAATATGATCTTTTTAGTAGTAAGGTTCTTTATTCTTTGGTTCTTCTTACTAAAACGTTGAAATTTCAATTTTTTTTTTAATCGAGATTTTGTGTCCTAATGGTCAATCAACGTCCCCCAAACTCCATACACAAAATTATTCTCAGATTTGAAGCCGAAATCTATGAAAAAAGGCACTCAGAAAATTTTACTCCCACCCATTACTTACCCACGAATTTCTTATCCTATAATAGTCGAAAATCAGAATTTTGTACTTTCCAACGAGGGGTAAACCGCAGGGGAATTTTGGTGTACAATATCGAGGAATTAGTAAGGAATTAGTGTGGAATTAGAGAAACTACTGGGGAATTAGAGGAATTATCGGGAAATTTGGGGAATTAGTAAGGAAATAGTGGAATTAGTGGGGAATTAGAAGGGAATTACTGGGGAATTAGAGGAAATTAGAAGAAACCAAAAGCAAATTAGTAGATTACGCAATGTCGCATCGGCAACGCGTGATCAAGTGTAGCTGCGTGAGTGAAGCCTATTTCGCTTCAGCTCGGTAAATTTACTTGCTGGTTGGCAACATCAACTGGCAACAGTGGCCTAATAGCCGTTAGCAAATGGTGAAATTATTCCAGATTCCACTGTTTCTAAAATCGAGGCATATAAACCGAGAACAAAAACAAATACAATAATAAATTTCAAATAATAATCTCAGAGCGAGTGCGTCTCAGTGGTGGAGTGACTGTAGTGCCAATGAGGTGATCAATTTGCATAGATTATTCTATATACAGCTCGTTATACAGTAAGTAAATATGTTTTTTTCTAAGACTAACAGTAGAAATAGCCTTTATTTTATTGTCCAATTAATCTCATCACAAGCTCTTCTCGCCATGTGGTCAATAAAATTTATTATTCACGTAGGTCAATAATTATAGAAGTAGATGGATAGTGTGCCCTATACCTAACCTCAAATACTAAATTCATTTCAATTCAAGTAAAGTACCTCGACTTATACCTACTTTTAATATTGGGTTGTATCGAGTTGTATTCTTACACTTTTTGCTCTGGGTTACACTTTTTTACACTTATTATTACTTGAGAATAGTGATTAGAAAAATCGTACTATTTCAACGATATACCTGATCAATACTGAAATAGTAACAAATTGAAAGGTGGCGGTGGGGTGAAATTGAAAATATTAAGCAATGGATGTTTCTTTTGATGTTCCTAAGGAGTTATTTAAGCGCAAGATCAAAAAACAATTTATTTGTGAGAGCTATTTTCGTGGATATTTTGCACGATATTTTATTTAATTTTATTAAGATTCCCATAAGCAGCATATAGGGGTTGTTTCTGGGTAGGGAAGTTTTTTGTTGTTATGGTGTGATTGTCGTTGTTGGGTTTATTGGGAATTATCTCGGAAACTATTAATTATGGGATACTTTTTTTACAGATGAGTGATACTGGTGAACCCGGGAATGGGGATGTTTTTGAAGAGGCGGAAAGGGCACTTAATATTAAAATACCAGAAATTTTGAAAAACTTATTGAAGAGCTGTTGCTATGAAAATGAAGCTTTAATAACTGGAATGACCAAAGCAACTATAACAGAAATAGAAAAGTTTGCGAGGACTGATTTATTTCAGCTCATCGATGAGGAAGATCGAGCAAAATACTATGGAATATATAGCAAAAATCCTAAAATTTACAAAATGCTACCCGCACACCAACAAGTCCTACTTTGGATGATCGAACATTTCAAAAAGAAAAGAAAATCACACAAAAAAGAAATTCAAGCATCTGCGCCAAGCGAAGCGCCAACTAATCGAGAAGGGCCTCCCAAGAAGAGGTCAAAAACTTCTGTTGAATCTTCAGAATTGTTAAGTGACGAATCCCAAGAGGAAGAACTCCATCCCGAGAACAATGCTAGGGAGATTACCAATCAGAAACCTGTCGTGAACCGAGCTGTTACCTTGACAGACGAGAATGCCTTGATTTTTCGAAATTTGAAGAAATGGGCAAAATCAAAAGCAAAAGCCGATTTATGGGAAACGCTTCAGCATAAATTCGATGATATTAAAATTGTAACTTCACTCGACCAACAAGAGATGTTCTCGAAAGTAACCTGCTTCTGTAACGCGACATACAAACTCCCCAAAATACTTAAACCTGGGAAAAAGCAGAAAAGTTGGATTTACTCAAATTTTCATACACACTTCATGACTAAACATTTCAAAACACAAACCACCTCGGCATTCGATGTATCGACAGAAATTTCAGCACGTCCTCAACAACAGTCCATCACTTCCTATTTGGTAACTAATGATCACGAGATTAATCCTATCCTGAATAAAAAGTCATCAAAAGTTAAAATTCTTGGTAACGTTGTTTTATCTCCTTCCCGAGCTCCTGCCTCACATTCCACCAATACTTTGCCGAAAAAACTGTGTGATGTTTATCTAGACTCAAGGTTTCAATCCGCTACGAGCACTGCTTTCGGCACGGCTTCTGGTACCCTCTCAGAGGCAAACAGCAGCGACCCCGCCGAGGACCACACCGGTCTCTTTGAAGCTAACGATAGGTGCTTAGACAGTATTGACGAATCAACGAATACCTCATCGAATCAACTGTGCAAAATCGACAACCAAGATATGGATAAAGTACCATCAGAATGGAAAATACAGAAATATCAGAGGCATGAAAGAGTGAGACGAGCTAGAGAAAACTTATTAGACGACCAAAGTTTAATCATGAATTACTTTTTTATTGCTGAAAAAGTGAGTGAAGTAGTAAGTAGAAATAGTGGACTAGCTGATGAATTTTTGGAGAATATAAGTGAAATAGAAACTGTCCAAAACACTGATAATTCTGTGTCTGAGTTACCGCGATTACTCAAAACATTGCAGGATTTATCACTCAAGAATTCCACTTACTCAAACAATAGAAACAGATACGATGATGCTACAAAAAAAATTCGCAGTATACCTGTTTTATATTGGGGGGAGGTTACTTTATGAAACACTAAAGGCAAATTTAGAGAATAGTTTACCTTCAATTTCTACCCTAAATAGATTCTTGGACACTAGAAATGAGCCTCTACAAGAAGGAGGATTTGATTTTAAAGGCCTATTAAAACACTTAACTGATCGAGGTTTACCAAAAATGATTTGGGTATCCGAGGATGGCACTCGCGTAACAGGCAAAATTGAATATGACAGCAAATCTAATAATGTAATAGGATTGGTTTTACCATTGAGGGATGGCCTGCCTCAACAAGGTACGTTTCCTGCCACTTCTGCTGAAGCAATCAAGGCATATTTTCAAACCGGAGTAAAAGCAACATATGCTTATGTAATAATGGCACAACCGTTACATGTTGGGGCATCAACATACTGCTTGTCCTTATTCGGAACTGATAATTCATTCACTACTGAACAGGTCACTTTGAGATGGGAATGGATGAAGAAGGAAGCTAAAAAATTTGGCATCACAATTATGGGATTTTCCTCAGACGGCGATACTCGCCTTCTCAGAGCTATGCGCTTAAATACTTATTTGATTTCCCGTTTAGCTCCTGAATATAAGGAAAGAAACCAAACAAACCCAGAAGATACAGAGGTACTTGATTCATTGCCAGTTCCAGATTGGGAGTGGTAGCACTGCAGCATTGAAAAAAATGAAGAATGTTATGTACAGGACACCACCCATATTTTAACAAAAATGCGTAGGGCCAAGTGGGGTAAAAATAAGACAGGCAATATTCGGGTGAAAAATGAGACGATGAAATAAAATTGCTAATTGTTTAATTTCAATCGGTTTCTTGTTATAGATATATAGCAACACTTGTAAAAACATCATATCTACAATTTATTTAATTTTTGGGTAACAAATAACGTCAAAATTAAAATTACAAAATCTACGGCGTCTTTTGCGATTTAATTCTTTTGAAACCGGTTCTGGAACTTTTGTGGTGAGGGTTCGTATATCGGTCGGAGGGGTTCGGTTAAAGTCGTTTCGCGCTCTGATCCTATTACCGTTGCAACGTGTGCAATTGTATTTCAGTACAAATTGATCAGTTTCCGACTGCGCACTGGTTTTGTGGAGGGGAAAATTTGAGACACGCGTGGAGGTAAAAATGAGACATCACAGGTCTAAATGTGAGACAAACATTTTGATTATTTTTTAGATTTTATTTACAAAACTAAGATGCCAAGGAAATATATACCCAAGCCGAAGAAGTATACGAAGGAAGATCTCGATAAAGCAGCAAAGTTAGTAAGAACTGAGGGCTTTTCTGTGAGAGCTGCAGCTGATGCCTTCCATATCGATAAGTCAAAACTAAGTCGCTACATGAATAAAAAGAATTCAACAAAACAAGGGAGAAAAACATCCTTATCTTTGGAGGTCGAACAAGATTTAGCTTCAAAGCTAATAACAATGGCCCAGTGGGGGTTCGCACTAACTAAACAAGAGGTTAAAAATGCCGTGCAAACATACGTGCAAGAAAATAACCTTAACACTGCTTTTAAAAATGGGCGTCCAGGCGATGACTGGTTTAGAGATTTTTGCAGAAGAAATCGTCTTAGTCAGAAAAAAATGGAGCAACTTGAAAAGTCACGACGTTTAGCCACTAGTGATCCATTTATTATTTATTCGTTTTATGATAAACTTGAAAAATGCATAAACGACCTAAATATTACATCGTCACAAGTTTGGAACCTTGATGAAACTTCTTTTTCCATGGATCCTTCAAGGATTAAAGGGATAACTGCCAAAGGACAAAAGGTACATAGGAACATTGAAGGATCAGGAAAAGAGAACGTGACTGTAATGGCGTGTGTATCAGCAAGCGGGTGTTCTTTACCCCCATTAATAATATTTCAAGGTCAAAATCTGTGGAGCTCGTGGAAAGGTAACAATGAATTGGAGAATACGATGTATGGTGTTTCCGAAAAAGGTTGGATGACAACCCTTATTTTCAATGAATGGTTTGCCAAGTTTTGCACAATGGTAAGGGATAGACCACTCTTGGTTCTCCTAGATGGACATTTGACACATTTGGATAAACATACCATAGAACTAGCCATTAGAGAGAACGTGACATTACTAAGCTACCTGCACATTCTACTGACTTACTTCAACCACTGGATCGAGGTTGCTTTGGTCCATTGAAGCTGAAATGGAGTGAAAAACTAATCGATTGGCAGCGCCAGAATCAAAGAAGGTTGACAAAAAGTGAATTTGCAGATTTGCTTTGTTCCATTTGGGAAGAAGGAATTTCAAAAAAAAAACATTGTTTCTTCTTTTGCATCAACAGGCATATTTCCATTTTCAAGGGAGAAGTATCCTTTAGCAAGGCTGGATACTACAAAACTAGAAAGATATGAAGCTCTACGGCTAGAAAATAGGGACCCCTTAGATATACAGTGTCATCAATTGGAAAATAATGAACCTCAACAACAAATTGTCAATGTCCCAGCAGACTTAGAAGATTCCGATGATTCCAGCACAACTACGGCCTTCGACAACAACGAAGTTCCTTCGCTACCTCCACTTGAACCAGATGACACAAATTCTTCTTTTGAAACTATTCTGTTGAAGAAAATTAATAAAACACCCTCTACTGTGCAAAAGCGTCGTAAAATACTTAGCGGCAGTCAAATACTTACTAGCCAAGAATATGCAAAGCTGATTGAAGATATTGATAAAGAAAAGAACAGAAAGAAAAATAAAGCAGGAAAGAAGAATCGGAAAACAAAGACGATCTTAAAAAAACTACCTTCTTCTAGTTCAGAATCTGAGTCAAAAGTAGAGGTTGAGTATGAGGATGAAAGCGATACCGAAAACATGACACTAGCTGATTTAGTGAGAGATGAAACTGAAGAGGAAGAAATTCAAAATGACGATGAAAGTGAGCCAGAAAATATGCCACCAGCACAGAATGTAGGGTTTAAATCCCCAAAGGAAGAAAATATAACTATTGGTAATTTCGTTTTGGTTAAGTTTAAAACCAAAAATAGAGACGTGCACTACATGGCAGTTGTTAAGGATTTGCTACCTAATAATGAATTTTGTGTTTCTTATCTAAGACGCAAGGGAAATAAATTTGTTTATCCAGCAGTTCCGGAAATCAGTAATGTGGAAAAGCAAGATATTGTTTTAAAGCTACCAACCCCAGCTCCCCTTGCAGGAACTTCTAGAGCAGCAGATGTTTTTGCCTTTCCAATAGATTTTGAAAGATATTTAGTTCATTAATATGTTCTTTTATGTTCAATGTATTCTGGATTATGTATTTTATTTTTAACTAGAACTTTTATATTATTTTAACACTCATTCGCATATGTTTTGCAAGAATTTAAATTCAGTTTTGGAATTAACGTTTAATTTTGTGGGTATTTTTCCATCAATAAATATTTTTCTACTAATTTGTTAAGTTCAATATGAATAAAAAAAAAAAAAAATATGTCTCATTTTTTCCCCTGGTGTCTCATTTTTGGTTTAGAGGACGGCACGACTGATAAAACATGCATTTTATAACTGTCTCATTTTTAACCAGGCATGTCTCATTTTTATACCTTTTCTAGGTTAAATATGAGACACAGTTTTTATTTTTTTTTCACTTTCATAAAGGTAATTTTCATATGTTTTCAAGCTCCTAATAGTTTTATCATCATGATTTACTTCCCATACATTTTTTATCAATTCCTTGAAAGGAGTCTAACACGCACAAAAAGTTAAAGTTTTAAAAAGTGTCTTATTTTTACCCCACTTGGCCCTACTCGTTTCCTAAAACCTGGAATAAATTTGCCAATTGGGAAATATACTGCCACCTCTGATCATCTTAGACAGTTGATCTTGAAGGTTTCAAAAGACAAACATCTTCTAACAGATTCTGATCTCAGAAGTAAAGACAAGATGAATTTCGCATCGGCAGAAAAAATGTGCAGTTTGATAGTAATTGAACAACTGAAAAAAGAAATTCCACAAAGTGAAGGTAGTGTGGCGTATCTTAAGCTTATGTACTACGTCGAATCGGCGTTCCTAAATTCCAACACAGATTTGCGTACTAGACTATATGACATCTGGTATGTTGTATTTTTTACCAGAATCTGGAGATCCTGGCTTAAATCAGAAAAAAAATATAAAATAACAGACAACTTTTTGACAAGTAACTGTTACCTTTGTATCGAGATTAACTCCCATGCTTTAATTAAACTAATACTCAAGCTTAAAAGCGGTGAGTTGAAACCAGAGATGTTTAGCATCAATATTTTCGGTAGCCACAAGCATGTGAATCCTTATTTCGAGCTGCTAGGTCCATGACCTCTACATATTCCACAATAATTAATTTTAGTATAAAGGATATGCTGAACCGAATTGAGAGAATTAAGACAACAATTGATACCATAAACGATCTGAGGGGGACTTTCACATTTCCAAGGGAAGAAAAAAGATTAAAAGACTGATGAAAGAAAATTTACCACGTGAAGATGAAATTCTCAATTTGGATATCAAAACTATAATTGAAGAAGCTCTACAAAATGTCATAGAGGACATGAGATATTTCGGCCTCAATGCAAAAGAAAACGATTGGAAATTTATGCAGGTACCATTGATAAAACGGAAACAAAATATCGGAGTTACACAGAAGAACGTAAACATGAACGAAGACGACGTTGAAGTTGGCGAGAACTGTGAAGAAAATGAAATTGACCATGATGTGGCAAACACAAATAATATTAGTGATGAGAGCAATATAGTTATGAACGAGGTTATGGACTTAATTTCGGAGAATATTTCCTCGGAGATTTCTAATGAAGATGGCGAAGGTGATACTTTGGAAACGGGTTCTATAAATTTAAAAGACTTTTCCGGAAAAGTGCATGTTGTATCGGAAAAATCACCGTATATTAAAGTAGTTATCGGTAAAAAAACCTCAATTATCAAAAAGTCGTCGTACTGCTGGCTTTTAGATCAGTCCAACGGTAGAGTAAGTACTGACCGATTAAAAAGATTTATAGGCAGTACAAGGAAAGCACCTCGGAAAACACCTGAGAAATCAGCTTCCAAAAACTCCGAGCCAACCTTGAAAAAGACTAAACAGAAGCTACCCATGGATCAAGCTAGTGGCACAAGCACTGACTCATCCACTGATTGGGACGTGATGGAACTAGACGACTCAGATGAGATGTTGCCGTGTCAATCAGAAAATTTATCGGAAACTGCCGACATTTAGAAAACTATTATGCGGTTTTCTATGACCAATCATGGTTCATTGGTCGAATAATTGAAGATAAAGGATATTATAAAATAAAGTTTCTGAAAGCAGAGCTCGACACATTTATTTGGCCCCGAAAAGAAGACATATTGATACCGTTTACAAAGATTTTATTTTCTACGGACCTATTAATTTAATTGGTGGAGGCCCATTTGAGTTAAAACGAGCAGACCAAGTTAATATTAAGAGCAGGTATAAGGCATTTAAAAAACAATAATTTTTTATTTTTTTCCAATATTGTTATATGTAGGTACCAGAAACAATCTTTAGTTTTATAATACAAATAACGAGTATTCTTATTTTCTTTTATAAGTTTTTTGATGTGAGAATAAATTGTTCATCTTTTCCAGCTTTTTTTATTTTAATACCTACTGCAAACCCAGATATTTAGGCTTGATTTATTTAACATCATATTATGTTGGCCAAGTTTACGTGGTGGATTTGGTGAATTAGTGAGGAATTAGTAAAATTAGGGGAATTACAAGGGAATTAGTGGGAATTAGAGGGGAATTAGAGGGAATTAGAAAGGAATTAGAAGAAATGAGAGGAATTAGTAACAATCCTGGGAATTAGTGTACACATTTTTTTCAGCGGTTTACTCCTCGCTTTCCAAGTTTAAATTTTGTTTTACGAGACTTGGAATTTTCACGGTTTACCAGTTGAAATAATTTCAAATCTTGCTTCAATTTTAAGTTTAAATTTCAACTCTTAAGAGAATTGCAAATAGAATTTTCATACTTTTTCAGTAGAGTGCATGAGCTTTTTGAACTATTCAATTTGACTCAAAATTTCAAATTATCAGAAATCATATTACTTTATTTTATATGTTCCTAATTTAATTTTGGCTTTAGGCGATCTGAGAATAGGATTTTCACGCTTATTTTGTCCAAAATTCAGCGTTTTTTACTTTCGAATTAGATCAGTTCATCAAGATGAACAATTTATGGGTATTTTTTAAAACAGACCTTAAATTATTTACGTTAATATGTTTATTTAAAATTTTCAAAGTCAAAAATAACATATACAACAATATCTTTGGTGAACTTTTTCCATTTAGATCGATAAAGTTAACACTCATAATAGTTTTCTTATACACATAAATACACATTGAATATTTATTTATAAAAATAAAACAATAAAAAAGAATACAGCAGGGTGTAAATTGACATTGCCCTGCATTAAAAAAAAGTCTAAGCTCTATAGTTTTTGGTGTTGTCAATCTTACAAGTATTTTATAAAATGGCACTAGAAATATTCGGTACCAAATTGTAAAAATTACTAAAACCTAAACAGAAAAATAAAATAATTATTATCTACATTTTTATGTACTAATTTTAGATAATTGTGCAATAAAAAGGACAAGATACTGTGTACAAATTTTTGTTTTTGGTGAAAAAGAACACCATTTTTCCCACTATAATAATATATTATTCAAAGGTAAATGTTTTATATAAAAGTTACAAAGAAATTTATTAAAATACGTATAAATGCACACACACGACAAATTTTTTTCTGTTATCATTACTTTTACAATCGTGTTTGTTTGGAATGCAATTTTTTTTTTTAACAATACAAAATATTTATTAAAAAATTTGGTCTCTCTTATAATAGCTAATAATATTAAATAGATAAAAAAAAATCGTTTATATAATTTAAATAAAAATACAAAATGTTAGCAGCTACAATTTCTCAAAATTTGAGCAATTTGAGAAACTGCTAGACTTTGGAAACTAAATATTTGACAGCAGTTTTTGCTCTTCAATAACCACCAAGTCTATGAAAGTCTTCAAATATTGGATTACACATAAAATGAATTTGTAAGAACAGAATACCAAAACAGCCTTTAAAATGTACTTTTTCTTTTAGGACCAACTAAGTGTAATTCAAATGAGCGTATCTTAAATGGAAGAAATAAGAAAAATTTAATGCAAAATCAGTCTTTTACGTTTTAAGATTGTACTACAAATAAAAATTAACCCCTGCAAGAAAAAATATTAAAAAAAGCCAACTTTTTTCCCCATAATCATGAAAAATAAGTTCCATTTAAGTTAGGCCTAAAAATTTTCATAAGGAAAGAGCCACATTGATGCACACTTAAATTTAATAAGCGTAGGATTTTAAATTAATGTCTTTGGAGTAAAAACATTTATGTCTTAATAATAATTTTAAATGCGCGGTTTATATGTAAGAGTGACGCAAATGGTTTCTTTTGTTTTGGCAGTATCTGGCACTAGCGTTTCTTCTTTACCTTTTAAAAATACATAAACAATTAATTATAAAGAAATTATTTTACCACACTAACCATTTTCTCCATTAGAAGGGGATTCTATTGGGCACGAGCACAATTCGCCTTTAGTTTTAAAACTGCACGATCTGGATATGTTTTCGTATTTCAGCTTGAAACTATTTGAACGCGAATTGGAACCTCTTCGTTCATTACGGCCCTTGAAACTGAATTCAAAATAAATAGTAATTTTGTTTTGTTTAATTGATGAAATATTACCTGCTAGATCTTGAACCATTCTCTTTATTTCTTCTACTAGCAGATCTTTGAACGTATCTTTTATCTCTGGAATTTGCCCTTTTAATGCTCGGTCTTTTCTGGATTGATTCAGCGCTCAATGATAATCCAGCAACTCCCACTAAAATAAAATATTTATTAATAAACAGTTTTTGTTTTGAAATATTTTACCAATAGTTCCTGATGATGACTTTCTAAGTAGGGCATTGGTAAGAGCAGAAACGTCAGCTTTATTTAGGGGAATATCCAAGGAACCACCGCAACTTTCACAATCCACTGATGGTCCTAGGAACCACTGAGATCTAGTTTTCATTCTTTCAGTTTGACGTTCGTGGACCTAAATTTGTATATTAAAAAAAGTTTCTACATAATTTATTCTTACCTGTGGTAAATAGCTAAGACTTCTAGTACTTTCCGCATAAGCATTAACAGCTTTCAGTTCTTCCAAAGTCATTTTTGGTCCTGAACAATTGTGGCTGTATTTGGAGGAATGACTTGTGCTTGAAGAATGGGACGTGTTGTTCTATAAATGAAATTTTTTTGGTAGATTTGCAAGAAACTCAGCGTATAATAAATTGTTGAGTATTGTTTCAATTTTTGTCTATTCCAGGCTCTTGAGTTTGCATTATCGGATTAAAATTAACAAAGTTGTGAAGCAAAATATTTGATTCCTTATGCATGATAAAAATTAGAGTCCATGAAGCTTTGCAGCTGCGAAACTATTAAAGGTATATTGAAATTATTAGAAGAGATTTGTAGAGAATTTATTTGGCCTTATTTCGAGTCTAATTACGGTGAGATCAAATTGAAATTAACAAAGCTGTAAAGCATAATGTGCTTCAAGGCCATTATGAAGACAAAATTAAATTTCCAAAAATTTCATCGTTTTAGTAAGAAGGATTTAGATTTTGGAACACTTTGAAAGGTCATAACTTTTTTTCTATTATAGATAGAAAGCTAAAATTTTCAGCGATTCTTATTCCAGTAGTGGACTACAATCCTTGAAAATTTCAGCTCATTTGCACTTATAGTTCCTAAGATAAAATCGTGTTAAGCAATTTGGGGTGATTTATATCAATTTTTCAATTTTCTGAGTGCCTTTTTTCAGAGATTTCGGCTTCAAATCTGAAAATAGTTTAGTGTATGGAGTTTGGGGGATCCCAAATGACCATTAGGATACAAAATCTCAACAGAAAAAAATTTGAAATTTCATCGTTTCAGTAAGAAGGTACCTACCTTAGTATTTAAATTTTGAAAACTTTGAAAGGTCATAACTTTTTTTCTATTATAGATAGAAAGCTAAAATTTTCAGCGATTCTTATTCCAGTAGTGGACTACAATCCTTGAAAATTTCAGCTCATTTGCACTTATAGTTCCTGAGATAAAATCGTGTTAAGCAATTTGGGGTGATTTATATCAATTTTTCAATTTTCTGAGTGCCTTTTTTCAGAGATTTCGGCTTCAAATCTGAAAATAGTTTAGTGTATGGAGTTTGGGGGATCCCAAATGAATATTAGGATACAAAATCTCAACAGAAAAAAATTTGAAATTTCATCGTTTCAGTAAGAAGGTACCTACCTTAGGATTTAGATTTTGGAAAACTTTGAAAGGTCATAACTTTTTTTCTATTATAGATAGAAAGCTGAAATTTTCAGCGATTCTTATTCCAGTAGAGGACTACAATCCTTGAAAATTTCAGCTCATTTGCACTTATAGTTCCTGAGATAAAATCGTGTTAAGCAATTTGGGGTGATTTATATCAATTTTTCAATTTTCTGAGTGCCTTTTTTCAGAGATTTCGGCTTCAAATCTGAAAATAGTTTAGTGTATGGAGTTTGGGGGATCCCAAATGAATATTAGGATACAAAATCTCAACAGAAAAAAATTTGAAATTTCATCGTTTCAGTAAGAAGGTACCTACCTTAGGATTTAGATTTTGGAAAACTTTGAAAGGTCATAACTTTTTTTCTATTATAGATAGAAAGCTGAAATTTTCAGCGATTCTTATTCCAGTAGTGGACTACAATCCTTGAAAATTTCAGCTCATTTGCACTTATAGTTCCTGAGATAAAATCGTGTTAAGCAATTTGGGGTGATTTATATCAATTTTTCAATTTTTCTGAGTGCCTTTTTTCAGAGATTTCGGCTTCAAATCTGAAAATAGTTTAGTGTATGGAGTTTGGGGGATCCCAAATGACCATTAGGATACAAAATCTCAACAGAAAAAAATTTGAAATTTCATCGTTTCAGTAAGAAGGTACCTACCTTAGGATTTAGATTTTGGAAAACTTTGAAAGGTCATAACTTTTTTTCTATTATAGATAGAAAGCTGAAATTTTCAGCGATTCTTATTCCAGTAGAGGACTACAATCCTTGAAAATTTCAGCTTATTTGCACTTATAGTTCCTGAGATAAAATCGTGTTAAGCAATTTGGGGTGATTTATATCAATTTTTCAATTTTTCTGAGTGCCTTTTTTCAGAGATTTCGGCTTCAAATCTGAAAATAGTTTAGTGTATGGAGTTTGGGGGATCCCAAATGACCATTAGGATACAAAATCTCAACAGAAAAAAATTTGAAATTTCATCGTTTCAGTAAGAAGGTACCTACCTACCTTAGGATTTAGATTTTGGAAAACTTTGAAAGGTCATAACTTTTTTTCTATTATAGATAGAAAGCTGAAATTTTCAGCGATTCTTATTCCAGTAGAGGACTACAATCCTTGAAAATTTCAGCTTATTTGCACTTATAGTTCCTGAGATAAAATCGTGTTAAGCAATTTGGGGTGATTTATATCAATTTTTCAATTTTTCTGAGTGCCTTTTTTCAGAGATTTCGGCTTCAAATCTGAGAATAGTTTAGTGTATGGAGTTTGGGGGATCCCAAATGACCATTAGGATAGAAAATCTCAACAGAAAAAAATTTGAAATTTCATCGTTTCAGTAAGAAGGTACCTACCTTAGGATTTAGATTTTGGAAAACTTTGAAAGGTCATAACTTTTTTTCTATTATAGATAGAAAGCTGAAATTTACAGCGATTCTTATTCCAGTAGAGGACTACAATCCTTGAAAATTTCAGCTCATTTGCACTTATAGTTCCTGAGATAAAATCGTGTTAAGCAATTTGGGGTGATTTATTAATTTTTCAATTTTTCTGAGTGCCTTTTTTCAGAGATTTCGGCTTCAAATCTGAGAATAGTTTAGTGTATGGAGTTTGGGGGATCCCAAATGACCATTAGGATAGAAAATCTCAACAGAAAAAAATTTGAAATTTCATCGTTTCAGTAAGAAGGTACCTTACCTTAGGATTTAGATTTTGGAAAACTTTGAAAGGTCATAACTTTTTTTCTATTATAGATAGAAAGCTGAAATTTACAGCGATTCTTATTCCAGTAGAGGACTACAATCCTTGAAAATTTCAGCTCATTTGCACTTATAGTTCCTGAGATAAAATCGTGTTAAGCAATTTGGGGTGATTTATTAATTTTTCAATTTTTCTGAGTGCCTTTTTTCAGAGATTTCGGCTTCAAATCTGAGAATAGTTTAGTGTATGGAGTTTGGGGGATCCCAAATGACCATTAGGATAGAAAATCTCAACAGAAAAAAATTTGAAATTTCATCGTTTCAGTAAGAAGGTACCTACCTTAGGATTTAGATTTTGGAAAACTTTGAAAGGTCATAACTTTTTTTCTATTATAGATAGAAAGCTGAAATTTACAGCGATTCTTATTCCAGTAGAGGACTACAATCCTTGAAAATTTCAGCTCATTTGCACTTATAGTTCCTGAGATAAAATCGTGTTAAGCAATTTGGGGTGATTTATATCAATTTTTCAATTTTTCTGAGTGCCTTTTTTCAGAGATTTCGGCTTCAAATCTGAGAATATAGTTTAGTGTATGGAGTTTGGGGGATCCCAAATGATCATTAGGATACAAAATCTCAACTGAAAAAAATTTGAAATTTCATCGTTTCAGTAAGAAGGTACCTACCTTAGGATTTAGATTTTGGAAAACTTTGAAAGGTCATAACTTTTTTTCTATTATAGATAGAAAGCTGAAATTTACAGCGATTCTTATTCCAGTAGAGGACTACAATCCTTGAAAATTTCAGCTCATTTGCACTTATAGTTCCTGAGATAAAATCGTGTTAAGCAATTTGGGGTGATTTATATCAATTTTTCAATTTTTCTGAGTGCCTTTTTTCAGAGATTTCGGCTTCAAATCTGAGAATAGTTTAGTGTATGGAGTTTGGGGGATCCCAAATGATCATTAGGATACAAAATCTCAACTGAAAAAAATTTGAAATTTCATCGTTTCAGTAAGAAGGTACCTACCTTAGGATTTAGATTTTGGAAAACTTTGAAAGGTCATAACTTTTTTTCTATTATAGATAGAAAGCTGAAATTTTCAGCGATTCTTATTCCAGTAGTGGATTACAATCCTTGAAAATTTCAGCTCATTTGCACTTATAGTTCCTGAGATAAAATCGTGTTAAGCAATTTGGGGTGATTTATATCAATTTTTCAATTTTTCTGAGTGCCTTTTTTCAGAGATTTCGGCTTCAAATCTGAGAATAGTTTAGTGTATGGAGTTTGGGGGATCCCAAATGACCATTAGGATAGAAAATCTCAACAGAAAAAAATTTGAAATTTCATCGTTTCAGTAAGAAGGTACCTACCTTAGGATTTAGATTTTGGAAAACTTTGAAAGGTCATAACTTTTTTTCTATTATAGATAGAAAGCTGAAATTTACAGCGATTCTTATTCCAGTAGAGGACTACAATCCTTGAAAATTTCAGCTCATTTGCACTTATAGTTCCTGAGATAAAATCGTGTTAAGCAATTTGGGGTGATTTATATCAATTTTTCAATTTTTCTGAGTGCCTTTTTTCAGAGATTTCGGCTTCAAATCTGAGAATATAGTTTAGTGTATGGAGTTTGGGGGATCCCAAATGATCATTAGGATACAAAATCTCAACTGAAAAAAATTTGAAATTTCATCGTTTCAGTAAGAAGGTACCTACCTTAGGATTTAGATTTTGGAAAACTTTGAAAGGTCATAACTTTTTTTCTATTATAGATAGAAAGCTGAAATTTACAGCGATTCTTATTCCAGTAGAGGACTACAATCCTTGAAAATTTCAGCTCATTTGCACTTATAGTTCCTGAGATAAAATCGTGTTAAGCAATTTGGGGTGATTTATATCAATTTTTCAATTTTTCTGAGTGCCTTTTTTCAGAGATTTCGGCTTCAAATCTGAGAATAGTTTAGTGTATGGAGTTTGGGGGATCCCAAATGATCATTAGGATACAAAATCTCAACTGAAAAAAATTTGAAATTTCATCGTTTCAGTAAGAAGGTACCTACCTTAGGATTTAGATTTTGGAAAACTTTGAAAGGTCATAACTTTTTTTCTATTATAGATAGAAAGCTGAAATTTTCAGCGATTCTTATTCCAGTAGTGGATTACAATCCTTGAAAATTTCAGCTCATTTGCACTTATAGTTCCTGAGATAAAATCGTG